TGTCCGGCGGAGCGGACGGCCGGCCGGCTCCTCCCAGAGGTGATGAACGACCGCCGCGAGGTCCCCGGCGCCGCACAAACACGGGGACCGCCACCGCGCCGGCAGTGGGATCCGGCGCGCCCGTGGCCGCCGGCTGAGTCTGTTTGCTCCGCGCCGGCCGACACTGGCAGCCAAGAGCCAACACGACTGGGGAGCCGCCCCGCATTGTGGCCACAATCACAGCCGACACGCGGCCCGGTGCCCGAGACAAACGAGCTCGGTGGCACAGCGGACCGGAACGGGAGCGGAGAGGGCACAGCGGGCCGGACCCGGAGAGGTGCCGGGGCCGGACCCGGAGAGGTGCCGGGGCCGGACCCGGAGAGGGCACAGCGGGTCGGACCCAGAGAGGTGCCGGGGCCGGACCCGGAGAGGTGCCGGGGCCGGACTCGGAGAGGGCACAGCGGGTCGGGCCCAGAGATGCCGGGGCAGATGTGATGATACGGTAACGATACGATACGATACCAACATACCAGCAGCGGCCACTCATCTATGGATCCCTGCGCGCCACAATACCCGTAGGAATGTCGTCTCCTATGGCCAGCCGATAGTTCGGCAGTAATGGAAGATGATGTGATTATCGCCGCCGGCTTCATTGGATTAACTTTCACACGACTACTGTTGGCACTACATCAGATAATGAAACCAGATGTAATTCCATGAAATCCGTGAGGAGTGATGTTTCCATTTCTCATCAAAAACAATTTCCAGAAATTCTTAAGATAGCCTACAATGTCATATAAAATGGATGTCATGTATGTAGCAATGCTATGCTCAAATACATACCAACATCTGTAGTTACTTTCAGACGGAGCATTTGAAACGGAGAAACATCGGTGTTATTAGTGAGAACTTCGGCAAGGAATGTTATGAACAGATATTACGGACAATCCTACGGCTTGTAATAATTGCCCGTTAGAAAAGCACCAGATCACGACTTACTGGACAGTAAAGATTCGAACAAGCACCATGGGGCGCACCCGCTACAATTCTGGGAGCCGCATCTAACGGCCGACCATCTCAACTACATACGTCGGAACTTCCTGATAATCACGCGTACCGAGCAGCTCACACCCTGTTCTGTCCTGTTCCGGCGTGCTCACACTCTGTTCTGTCCTGTTCCGGCGTGCTCACACCCTGTTCTGTCCGATTTGCCGCGCCCGGGGCACTCTGCGCCACTGTCGGTCGCCGCGGTCGGCTCCCACGCCGCCCATCATCCGCCGCTTCACAGGTTGGGAATGCATGTCAAGTGGTCTCACACCGCCAGGTGGGCTCATTATGGGCCGGCGCGACACGGCCGCGCGAGCCGAGAGCAGCACTCTCGAGTCCCCGCAGACTACCCCGAGAGCAGCACACTCGAGCCGCCCGCAGACTACACTGCCCTGGGATTATAGCGCGGGTCCATAGAGGACCCGAGGCTCGAGAGTCATCCAAAGTAACCATAACGAACTGAGGACGCGAGAGCCCTTCAAAGTAGCCATAACGAGCTGAAGACTCCAGAACACTCCAAACCAGTCATAGCGAGCTGATTGGAGAGCCCTCTAAAGTAGCCATGACGAGCTGAGGACACCAGAGCCCTTCAAATTATCGTCTGGCCCTGACGAACTGATTTGGGATGACTCCGACGGCTCCGGTGGTTGCGAGACAAAGCTCCAGGGCAGTATTCGGATCCCGGCAGTCTGGGACGCACAGCGTTCGGATACCCGGCAGCCCGGGCCGGCTGGTCTCTCCCCGCCCGGGTTCAGGCAGGTCAGATAAGGCGGCGCCGGGCGCCCGGCCGATGGAGGGTATCTGGTTCCAATCTGCCACCAAATCGGTGCCGAGCCCGTTACCCTGGCGTTCCCGGCCCGCGGGTCGGAGCCGTTCCGATCTGGTTTACTGCCGAGCTCCGGGCGGCGGCGGCCGCACGATGGAGCACCGGCCACCAGGAAGGCAGCTACGCGCGCGCCGCGGGAGCCCAGACCTCAGGGCGCGCTAATGTTTTGTTTCGACCACGCCAGATTGAACGATTTTTCATCGGGTGGCCTTCGGAGATTTTCCGATACGGGCGCGGCGGGAGTTGGCGCTATCAATCGTGTAAACCCACTCGAGAAGCGGCGTTTTCCGATGTCCGGGAGCACCTCCTGCTGTTCTCCGGGAGCACTTATTCCGAGCACCGCCTCCTCACCGGGAGCCCGACGCCGCCTCACCGCCGGATCTGCCAGCCACTCGGTACCGGGTACCGGTACTGAGTCCCGGGTACCGGTACTGCCAGTCGCTCAGTCTCCTCCCTGGTTCAGGGACAGGTTACTCAGTCCGATCCCAGGTACCCCGGGACAGGTCACTCACTCCCAGGTACCGAGACGATGAGAAGTTGATGAGTCGGTCCAGCCCAGGGTGTGCTCTCGTCTCTGCTGGTGAGCGGCGTGGGCGGCCCCGGGGCGGGGCGGGGGCGGCAGATCGCCGGCACGTCCGCTCCCACGGTGTGCCGGCCGGACGCTGGTCGCCCCGCCCCCGCCCCGGCGGCGGGTCACGCGGAGAGCCGGCCGGGGCCGCCGGGTCGCCGCCGGGTCACGGGCGCGGCCCGGCCGAGTAGCAGTCACTCACGGAGCTCGCCGCCGCCGCGCCGGCCGTGCGAACCGGGCCAATCGGCTTATCGTACCCACTGTGCGGGACGGCGCCCATTCATGGGTACGAGCCGCCTTCCTCAATGGGGCGCGGGCAGCTCTGTCCGGCCCGTCCCGCTCTGAACGGACCGGACCGCTCCACAGTCCACAGTAGCCGCGCCGCCGGGATTTACGACTCCCGCCACCGGGGCCGGGACGCTCCCCTCCGAGCGTGATCGGGCCGGCGGGCCGTGCGTGCGCCGCCAAATGGGCCACGGGGACGACGGCGGCGCCATTTCTCACCGCTCGCGCCCGACCTAATCGGCCGACGCGGCGGCACGCGCCGGTAAAAAGGGAAACCGAAGTCGGCGCCCGACTCTGACGGCTTGGCGCGGGCGACACCATCGGGCGACACGTGCCCGTCAGCGGTGCCACGCCGTCCGTCCGTCCGTCCGTCCGTGAGTCTGTGCATCTGTGGTGAGCAGCGCGGACGGGCGGGGAACAATGCAGGTCGCTCGGCGGCGCCGCGGCGGTCAGAGATCAGGGGCGCGCCGCGCTGCTACATACACACCGTCGACGGGGCGTGCCGCGCTGCTACAGACACATCGTCGACGGGGCGGGACGCTGCCACAGGCACACAGCAAGTCAGGGACGGAGTGGGTTGAAGCAGCCCGGCGCTAGGATGGGCTGAAGCCACCCGGGCGGATGCGTCCACACCCTCAGTCACACAGTCCGTCACGGGTGCTGTTAGCGTGACGGGGGAGGGTGACGCGCCGTGACCGAGCGTCACTCGCCCTGGGCCCCGCGCGCGGGGGCGCCTTTTGCCGTTTCCCATTACGGCAAGCAGCGACCGTATTCAACAAAACAGCAGAACAGCGAACAGAGGGGTAAAAAAGATGATTCCATCGTCAGCAGCGATGGTGTCTCCCGGTTGCGACGGGGAAGTGTATGGAGCATAACGCGTGGAGTATCGCACAGTATCAAACAGCCAAGCACTTTTTTACGGCAAGTCCCCGCCAGTGTCTGAGGGCCCCGCACCGTGCCATCACGTCCGCTCAGGATGTGCCGCACCGTCGGCTCCCAGGCCCTCTTCCCTCCGATTGCCCCATTTGACTGGACGGATCAACATTTGAACAATGTCTGATTCCTCCGAGATGAGACAGAGCGGCGGCGCGCCGGTTGCCCAATGTCTGGTATTAATTCGGCCAGCGAGGAGCCGGGGGCGGGAATCCATCAGCGCTGGCAGGCCCAGCACGCCCCTGAGCACGGTCCGCCACGGCCAACACGTCCGCGCAGCTGCGGGCCCGATCAAACCACGTGTCAGCACGTAGCGACACCGCCAGCCCGGGAATTAATACAAACGTGTAATGGGATGGATCGGGGACGACGTCGAATATAAATGGTGACATCTGATGTCGCTGTCCGTGTGTAATTGCTATTTGATTAGGGCGAGATTGATGGCCGAAAATTATGATGAGCGTGACTTACGTTCAAGGTTTGTAGCGTGCATGTGTCATCACTCCGGGTAATACCGATTTACGACGGATAAAATCAATGTCTGCTTCCCAACTCAGTTTCTTTACAGAACAAACTATTTCATGTTGAGTAGCAATCGATAAGCAGATATTGAAACGGGTAACACAGCACATTCGCGCGAACGCGTCTCGTCGCATTGCAACACCCTTTCGGAAAACAAACACTACAAACACACAGGAATAAAACTTGCACAGCGCAGTCTAGCACTCCGTTGAATTATAACATGCTAAGAAAGCGCATAATTACAAATGATGACCACCGATAAAACTTACTTGTCGGTACACAGCTGCTGATACAAAACAATCGTACTAGAATACAAAAATAGGACACATCTATAACAACTCCGATGACGGTGTATTTTCGCTTCCTATCATTTTTCCTTTTGGTTTTTTAACGGAGTGTTAGACCGATGTGCAGCTTTTATTCTGGCATGCCTTTGTGTTGTTTCTCAGCGCCGGTATCGTCCACGTTACGGCGCATTCCCAGGACATGAAACCGCACACGTCTCCCCAATAAATTTCGCCGAGCCGACGGGCACTCCCGGATTCCAGGCAGCCAGGACACCGCCGCCGCAGCCGGATATGTGGCGGCGGATCGAAATACCCTACGTCTGTGGCTGTCAGCAGCTCTGCCAGAGGCCGCAGCATCCGCCCCCCCCCCGCGCACACCTGGTCCATGGGCCGTGCACGGGCCCCGCCCCCGCCCCGCCGTCCGTCCGTCCGTCCGTCGGTGGGTCGGCGCGGGGCGCATCTCTGGCCGGCGGCGGCAGAGCGGCCGCACCCGATCACCTTGGCTGGCCGCCGCCGCGCCGCCCGGTCCTCTGCGGCGCCGGCCGCTCTCCGCGGCGCCGCAGTGTCACGCGCGCCGTGGCCCCGAGCGGACGTGTGAGGTGGTGCGCGCGCGACTCGGACTGATCGAGCAGAGAGGGAAAGGGAGAGGAGAGTGGGCGCGCGCCGGACGGTCGGACCGACATGGAGCCCAGCGCGGCCGGCTGACTGTGACCAGCAGAGTGACAGCCCAGGTGACAGAGATGTGGCGGACGGGCGGGCTCGGCACTGCCGCCGCCGCGGCGCTCCTGCTGCTGCTCAGCGCCACCGCCGCCGGTGAGTGCTGCAAGCCCCTCCGACCCCCTCCGGGACTGAGCCTACCACTGGCTTTAGGACACAAATACAAGACCGCTTGAACGGCTGAGTTAAGCAAGTATTTTTATTTGATTCAACATATGCATGCAGATGAAACCGAGGTAATAACAAGTAACAAATATAACTGAAATTTATACAGCCTCCGCCTAAGGCACTGTCGTGCAAGAAATATTAAGTCCACAAATCATTAGTGGTAAACTAGTGATTCGCTGCTTTCAACCAGCAAAGGCATAATCAAATATATGAAACATTAAGATAATTGCCTGGCTCGTTAATAAGCAAAACGATTATTATTCAACATGCCATTGATCAAACAAATGATATCCAATTACATTCAAAGCACTTTGAACCTTTGTGAGCTCACACTATAAATCAACACAATAGCAGCCCTTCCCAACAATTCCACTTTCGCTGTAACTAATGGCGCTCGGACCGCCGCATCCCCCACCGAGGTCGGAAGTGAAATGTCACCGCGCTCCACCGCACCGACAAACCAGCCCGACACGGGGACAATTCAAATCCGTCCTAATCTGTGCGGGCCGGCCGGGCCGCGCGCCACACCACTCAGCCGCCGTCCGACCCCACCGGCCGGTCCCCGGTCCCGTGACGGTGACTCACCGTCACTGTCACGGCGACACACTGTACCGTGACGGTCAGTTTAAGTCAGACTGTAGGACTAGGGTACTCGGAGACCAGGGTCGGCGGTCTGCAGGCCTGCGGAGGTCGGCACAGTGAGGACGGTCCAGGCTGCAGACGGGAAGGAATGACAATATCATGAGAGAAGAGTAAATGGGAGCTGTCTGGGATAAGACTGTCCGGCGAATACCAGATAGGCCTGCAACTGAGGCAATATCATGCGACAGGCCCGACCAATGGGCAGCTGCGGAGGATAAGACTGTCCGGCGAATACGAGATGAGCCTGCAGCTGTCGCGGGTGGCGGGCCGCCCGGCTCATGGATACAGATCAAGGAATCACAGCCGGGTACTGGACTGTCGGACCGCGCCGCCACGGAGACCGTGACCTGTCGCCGAGCAAATCACGGCAGAGCCGGCAGTGACGGCTATCACCTACAACTCCCACCGGACACGTGCCAGCCGAAGGTGTCGCCGCTCGAGGGCGCGACATGCGTCACGGGCGCGTACACAGGTGGCCGTCACCGTGAGCCAGCCATTCGTCAGGACCTCTCCGCGCCGCAGCTGACGGCCCTCCATACATCATCATCAGATCGCCATAACCATAAATATCACATCAGATCGGGCGCATTCGGGTAATGTGGACACCACGGCATAATCGCCGCATTTGTCAGGTGTTTCTCAAACGGGAATGTATTACAATTTACAAACGATCATAAATCGGCCATCACCAGACAATTTGGAAGGAGATTCTTCAATCACCTCGCTCCAGAAGCCTTTTGTAATTCAATTTTCAAGTAGCTTGGTGCACGCAGGAGCTAAACTGGTTTTTAATGAACATCAGCCGTTGCTAAACACACTTCAAGTATTCATCACCTCGCTTGATACGCGCTGAAACAGCTACATTGTTCCCACCCCAGTTTGCATACTAACGAGATCCAATTGTCGCTTTCAAGCACGTGCAGAATGCATCATCTGCAGCGAGTAGTGTCGAACATCAGGTTGCGCCACGCGCGGTCAGGCGGTCGCGAGGGGCGCGATGGACCCGTGTGTCCACCTGCGGCCGCCAGCGGGCCTGTATGACGGCGATAAGTGCCGTCGGCTGGCCGCCGGAGCCGTATGACGGCGGTAAGAGCCATCAGCCGGCCACTGGCGGACCGGCCCGCTGTGTAACCGGTCACTGAGCCGCGTTAGGCAACACCACGGGATTTGATTCAGTGGCCGCTGTCCGTGCGGCGGCCGAGTGATCCCACGGACCGGCTGCCGCCCGCCCGACCGCCCGTCTGCGCGTCGGCCACATTTCGTCCGTGTCACGACGACGGCGCGGGCCGGCGGGGTCACTCCGACCTCAACACGAAGCTGCTCCAGGGCCGCGGGGTCACTCAGGTCCCAGCAGCAGGCCGCCCCGACCCCTGACCGCCGGGCTCGGCCCGCTGACCGCCGGACCCGGCCCGCTGACCGGGGCGCACCGACCGGTCAGCCACGGCCCGGCTCGGCCCGTCGTTACCCCAGAGATGCAGTCGTGTGGAATGCAGCAGCGACCGCGGCGGCGACGGTGGACGCCGCAGATTGCACCACCGGCCGTGCAGGCGCGCGATATGGTGACGATATGTGAGCACGACACGTCGAGCCGGCCGGGAGCGTCCCTCGGGGAGCGGCGGCGGTACGCGCGGAGCCGAGTCTTCGGTCCGGAGACAGAGGGATCTCTTACAGCCGCCGAGAGCTCTTAGTCAGGAGACGGGGAATATCTCGGTCCTGTGACAGGGATGATACCGAGCGGCCAGTCGCCAAGAGCCCTCCCGTCGGATACAGAGGGATACCGCGGTCCGGAGACAGGGGAGATATCTTCTCTGTGTCTCCGCGCTCCGGAGGCAGGGGAGATATCTCGATGCGGTGACAGGGACGATACCGCACAGCCGGCCGTCGTGGCCCGCGCCGCCGCAGAGACGCGGCCCGGCTCCGTAAACAGGCATTACGCCGACAGGTGCAGCGGCCTCCCTCCCGTCGTGCACACAGCCCGAGACCTGCGTGCAGCACGGTCCGGGAGGACGCGTGAGCGGCCCACCCCGCGGCGGCTCGGCGCCGACAGCGGCGGCCCGCCTCCCCCCGCCGGACGGAGCCGCGCGGTGCGACCGAGATGGACGGCCCGGGCCGGTGACACGGCGGGGAGCGGCGACCGGGCGTGAGAGCGCTCCGGCGCCCGATCTGGGTCGGAGGGCAGCCAGCCGGCCCAGGCGGCGGCGGCGACCCGACCTTGCCATGGGAGCCGCGTTCCGGCCGGCGCTGCCAAGGCCACGGCTGCTCGCGGACCGCAGCGGCGCGCCCCCGGGACCGCAGCAGGTCACCGGGCGACCCCGCCGACAAATGGCCCCTGCCGCGGCGCCGCCGACCAGTCCCCGGTGCTCGGACAATGCACCCGCTCCGGTGCACTGCACTCGTACACAAACAGGGCGTGCACGGCGGAAACGTTCCCCGCCGAACCTCAAATCCAGTTTTCCGCCAGACCAATGTGCGAGTGTTGCAATAATTAATGTTTCTGCATTTCCGAAAACATTCCCGAAAGGTCAAATGAAGGAGTGCAATTAATGCTGATCGCTCTATTGTTTGGGAAAGATAGGCCGAGAAGCACTCAGCTAACATGATGACATCGGCTTCAACAAAATGGAAGCCAGAAGGTAAGCGAGATGGTTATGTCAACCATCCAGAAAGACTCGGATCAATCGCTTCCAAAGACATGAAGTGTCCGCCGCCCCAGCTGTATGTACCGGAGTGGCAGGCCGTGCCGGAGCTATCGTAATTCCGGGAGCCGACTGCACGGCTCAGCGGTCACGAAAGCGAGAGGGACGCAGCTGCCGGCGCCGACGGGGCGGGCGCGGCGCGCGCCGCTCCCACGCGGAACCGATCGGCCGCCGCCGCCAATGGCACTCACACGGCAGCGGCTCCGGGCGGGCACGGGCGCGGCGCGGCTGGGGTCGGGCGGCTGGGCCGTGTCACGGGGTCGCTCGCGATGCGCCGCGACCGCCGGGCTTTGCAGGCGGTCCCAAACAATGTTAGGTTAGAGCGGGTTCCTGGGCTGGCGCTCCCGCCAATGATGCTACTGTTGTGTGCAATAATGCAGTCTCCGGTCGCAGTGGCTGGTGTTGTTACAGGCGGTGGTGCAGTCCCCAGTCGCGCCTGCTGTTACTGTTATATGTAGTAACGCAGTCTCCCGCCACCGCCGCCCAGCTGGTGTTACTGTTGTGTGTAGCAGTGCAGTCCCCGCCCGCGACTGGAGTTACATGAAATAACGCAGTCTCCGTCGCGACTGGTGCTAGTTTTATACGCGTGACGCGGTCTCCTCAGCCGCTGCGGCCTGCGATTTTCAGACGATATCGGGCGTCATGCAGATTGCAGAATGCTGGGCCGTTGTACCGGAACAGTACTACCACGGCCAGATGAGGCAGTTACGTCCAGCATAACCAACAACAGAATCTTTGCATCTGAATACAGATAGGCGTAATTCCCCATGAAATATCATCTGGAAGGAAATATGATCTGAAATGATAGTTCCACTTCCAACACCAGTGAGGCTCCGAAAACATTCAAACAGTTCACACCCAAGCCCCTCCTGCTATAAGTATTAGTCTCAGCGGAAGATATCGATTCGTGTACACAAGTCGGTGGACCCTGCCGCCGCACGACGGACAGGCCCCAGAGCCCGGCGTCCGCTGCCGTCTCTCACGGCGGGCGGCGGTGCACCATCGGCGGGCCGTCCTTCGCGCTGCAACTCTCCGGTGAAAGCGAAAACATTCCGCCACCGCCAGAGCCGGCTGGGATACTCCCATCGGAGCGGGCCGGCTCAATATTCCCTGCAACATCCCAAACACGCCGACTTCAGCGGCCCCAGACGACACGGCAGCCCGACAATCCCGACCGTCAGGCCGTCTGCCGATGTATGTATACCGTATGAGAGGTTCATTCCCAATGCCAAGCCATTTGAGTCACGCGGTTGCTATGGAAACACTATGCAGTGGATTATGCAGTTTATAGCAGTTCCCCGTACCGTGGGAACCGACAGGGCATGCAGCCCACGTGCAGACTCATATTAGAATGAAGCAGTAAAATTGATGGCCTTCACGCTGAATATTGGAAAACTTCATCACATTCGTCCCACGTGTGTCGTCGACAGAAAAGACGGCCGAAATAGATTCTTATCCCGTCTCGAAGTACAATGCCAACACCTCCCCAAAAGTCCCGCCGCCTACTGACACCATCCATAATACATCGGAAACGGTTCCAGCGCCCTTTTTATACCGGCCTGGTCAGCGACCCCGGCAGACACCACGGATATCTAACACTGTCAGACAGCTAACGGTCAGATCGGAGCAGACAGATCGGCGCCCGACGTCCCGCCGCTGTCCGCCGCCCCTGTCCGCCGCCGCTGGTCTGTGTCCAGTCCCCTGCCCGCCGCCGCTGGTCTGTGTCCCGTCCCTGTCCGCCGCCGCTGGTTTGTGTCCCGTCCCCTGTCCGCCGCCGCTGGTCTGTGTCCCGCCCCCTGTCCGCCGCCGCTGGTCTGTGTCCCGCCCCCTGTCCGCCGCCGCTGGTCTCCGGGGCGTGGCCGTCCCCCGCCGGCAGCGAGCAGCCTCCGACTGCTGTCCGGACAGTGCCGCGTCGCCTCCGGCTGGTGTCGGACCAGTGCCGCACTCCGGAAACCGGCCCCGGCGCCGCAAGGACGAACGGAGGACGACTGCGCGAGACGCGCCCGTGCAAACACGAACCGGCCCCCGTTCAGCCCCGCCCAGGAACCGGAACTGGTCCGGCCGGGCGGGGCCGGGATGGGGCCGGCGGTGAGCGGCCACCCTTCATCAGCGCGGCGCGGCTCTCACCGAGCAGCGGCCAGCTGCCGGCCGACGGCGCCAATCAGAGCACATCCGTTTAGCAATCCGTCCGGAGACGGAGCCGTGGCGCAACGGCGCCGGCCACTCCGCCGCGGCAGCCCGGCCGGCCGACCGCCGCGGCCCGGCCGGCCGGCGGCGGTGGCAGGGCTCATCCCGCCTCCAATGTCACCGGCCGGCCGCGGTGGCCTGGTTCGGCCGCCATTAGCCGCCTGAAGGACGCTGCTGTTGACGCCACCGGGCCGCGTCTCCACACCGTCCATCGCGCGCCGCTGACCGTCGTAAACAGGCCGGCACGCGACACGCGGGGGCGGGCGGGCGGCCGCCGTGTCGGCGCCGTCAGCCGCGGCGCCCGGCTGATGGAGAGGCCATGTCCCCGCGCCGGTCAGCGCCACCAGTCGGTGTCCGGACCGAACCCGACCCGACCCCTGACCGTCCACCGCAGCCGACTGCGGCCATTACCACCCCCGCACTCCATGAGCTGAGCCGACTAACCACCCACTGCACACTGACGGACCCAGAGCGCGCACCCCATGTGACACGCCCCCGCACTGTGCACTCCATGTGATACCCCCAACGCCACCGGCGTTCTATCACTCGCTGTACTTTACAATGTCCCGTATCTCTATGACGCCAGGTGGGACGGCCGCCGACAGCCGCCGGCTGTGCGAAGGACGCGGCGCCGAATGTATCGGTCAGGAGCAGCCCTCGCCGTCCGAGACCGCCAGCTCTTCGTACCAGGTCAGTGAGCGGGCCGATCTGTTAGTGTACTGTAGAATTGCATAAAATGTGGTCAGATTTGCTAGCTCACATTGGCGCGTGCTGCTGCTCAGGATTTATTGATTGATTATTGTGAGTTAAAGGCAAGCTAAGGAATTATCATTAAAAAATCCATTGAGCTCTTGTTTGCTTACCAAAATCAGATGCTATTTGAAACGCTCGCTGTCAGAGCAGGCGCCCGTTCCAAAAATGGATCGCGCAGTCATTAATTTCCGATCGGCCCCCACGGCCGTCGTCATGTGCGGAAGTGGTCGGGGATCAGTGCGCCACGTAACAGGCCGCCGCGCCGTCTCTGCCGCAGGAGCCGCGCCCGCTGCGCAAGGTCGTGCGCACCACACTGCTGGCCGCCAACGCCAGCGAGCCGCCGCCGGAGACGGAAGCGGCTCCCAGCAGCAGCAGCCCGCGGACAGGTCGGCCCGGCGGCCGCGGCCGCGAGCTGGTCGAGCTGGCGCAGCTGACGCCCGTGTTCGGCCGCCGGCTGAGCGCCATGAGGAACAGGACGGCGGCCGTCACCCCGGCGGCCGGGCCCGGGTCGGCGCGGCAGCCGCAGTCCGGCCCTGAGGCCGACCCGCCCCGGGAGACGGCGGCGCGGCCAAACGCGCTGCCGCGCCGGCGCCGGCCGTCCAGCCGGAGACGGCACCGGCGGCCCCCCGCCGCCGCCGCCGCCGCCGCCGATGACGACCTGTCGGAGCGCGCCAACGCACTGGAGGAGGCCACCCGGCACGGCTCCGACGGCGGCGACGAGCGCGCCTTCCGCGTCGAGCGGCTCAAACGGCGCAGGAAGATCCTGGCCAAAAAGCTGGTGCGCAAACAGTTCCTGGGCGACGGCCCGCGCAAGAAGATTGTCAAGGTGGTGGCGGTGCGGAAGCCGCCGCGCGTGATCCCTGGCCTGACCGAGGTGTACCAGGACAACCTGGTCAACAGTCTGATCTCTGAGGAGTACCCGTCGCTGCAGCCGGCGCCCGGCATCAAGGGCTTCCCGGGCGTCGACTACCCGATCTACCAGCGTATCCCGGAGACCAGCTTCAGCTGCAGCCACCAGCGCTACTGGGGCATGTACGCCGACACCGAGACCCAGTGTCAGGTGGGTACATACAGACACGGAGGCCCGATGGTAAGTAGGGGTATGGGCCAGTCTCGACCGGTAGGTCCGGGGCACCGCTCGGCGGGACGCGCAGACGGCGGGGCGCGCTGGCTCGGAGATCGGGTCACGGAGGGCGGGGCGGCACAGGTCACCGCGGGCGGCCGGGTCAGTCGGCCTACTGTTGTCGTCCGCGGCCATGAAATCGGCCACTTAACATTCACCTTGAATCCCACACGGGCGGCGCGCGTTCTGGGCCGACTGCCACCGCCCGGTGCGGCCCCGCGCCGGCATCACAATGGGACCATCGCCAATCCCATCTCGGCGGCAGGAAGCCAGTCCACCCCGTGTCCCCAGATATCCGATAGGCGCGGCACACAGCCGGGTCGGGTTCAGCCGCCGGTCGGGTCAGTGACTCTGGTCTCTGATCGGCGGCGGGAGCCGAGGTCAGGACACCCGGTCCTCAGCCAGTGTCGTATGCCGAAGCGTCTTCTCCTGTCGTCTGCCACGGTCCGGTCAGTCGCGCTGTCCGGAGGAGACCCAGCCCGCCCGGCCGACTCCGTGCGTCGCCACAATGCCAGCGGCGGCGCATTCGTCGCGATCACGCCACATTGGCCGCGGTCGGACCAGTGCGCCACCAGCCGCCAGTTGCGGCGTCCGCGGCTCCGTGAGCGCCCAATCAATACCTGGGCGCACTTTCTACGACAGCGACGCATGCACGAGGCTCATGGCGCGTCACGGTCGTCTCTGGCGGCTGTGAGTTGCGCCACCGGCTTACATCAGGAGGATCGGCCGGCAGCCGATTGTGTCCGCACACGCTCGTCACCGGGACGGGATGACGGACGGACGGACGGCGCCGGCGGCGGCCGCCAATGTGCGCTAATCGCCCGGCGCGCAGCGGCCGAGCTGCCGCAGACGACAAATGGTCGGCGGTAAGCCGCTCTGCCCGGGACCGGCGCCGCTGGGACCGCCAGCAGGTCGAGGTCGCCGCCGACCTCAGCGCGCCTCGCTGGGTCACGCCAGGTCGCGGCGGGTCACGTTGAATCGGAGGGAGGTCGGGCCAGGTCAGCCGGTGCGCCGTCGGCCGTGCACGGAGCTGATGGTATCCGGCCGGCAGAGCCGGGTCGGCGCACCACCGGTCACGCGCCAGGTCGGGTCAAGTCGGGTCCGTCAGTGCTGGCGCGTCAGCCCCCGCTGCACTGACCGACGGCGGGTCGTCGCCACTGGGCAGTCGTCATGGTGCCGAGCCGATAACATTGGCATTGCAGCGACGCTAACCGAGTCCCGGCCAGCCGCTGCTGATCAGTCCCGACCGGCCACCACTGACCGAGTCCCGACCGGCCACCACTGACCGAGTCCCGGCCAGTCACCACTGACCGAGTCCCGGCCGGGACTGTCCTTGGCCGCGGAGCGCCAGCAGGCGGCAGATGAGTCGGCCGGCCACCTGTTTGGCCGCCGATGGGACCCGGTTTACGGCCGGTCACACGGCGGGGGCCGCCCGGCCGGCCGGGGTCGGACCACTTTCCAGGCCGCTCAGCTCGGCTCGAGTGGCGTCAGCCGCCGCGCCGCAGACAAAGGCGGCCGGCCGACAATTCATGGCGACACGGAGCAATTCGACGGCCCCGCTTTGTTGCACGTCGGGTCGGCGTCGTGGCTCGGTGTTTTAACCCCTCCCCGCCCCGCGCTGGGCTCATCCCCCCTGCACACCGGCCGTGTTTCACTGAGCCGATCCCCAGACCCTGACGGCGGCGCCGGCGCTGCGTCATTACCATAGTCTCCGGTCTCCGATGCAAACGAGCCGGGCCACGGAGGGTGCCCGGGGCGGCAGAGGCGGCGGCGGCGGCCGTCCCCTGACACACACACCGCCCGTCACCGCCGCCCACCGCGCCGCTCGTTACCGCCCCATCCGTCGCCGACTGCGGCGGCGGCGGCGGCGGCTGACCCGGTGACTCGTCCCGCACGGCCCGGCCGAGCACAGTCCGTCGGTCAGCCGGCGCCGTTAGCTTGCGACACGGGTGGCGTGCAGCGGCCGGCGCCCTCCCACGGGTGGCCGCCGGCCGGCGCCGCGCCCCGCCACCCCCGCCGCCGGTCACCGCGCGCCGTTCACCTTCATACGGTGTGCATCGGGCGGCCGCCTCAATCAAGGCTCGCTGGCCGTCACTGCCGGCCGGAAGGGCTCCATCCCAGTCCGGTGCTCGGACCCCTCCCCGACCCCCCTCGCCGGGTGAGCGGACTCCGCGCCTCTCACTGCCGGAGAGGGGCCGGCCGGGCTGGCGCGGCGCCCGCAGGATACCATCACCCTCGACTGCGGCGTGCAGTGTGCAGCCGGGCCGCTGACGGCGCCGCGGAGACGACTCTCCCCGCCGTAACCGCAGTCGCTCCGACGCGCCGCCGGAGAGCCCCGCGGCGAGCTCAGTCCGGCGCGGCGACTTCCTCGGCGCCCCGCCACCAGGGTCGGTCATCAGTCCGGCACGCCGCTCCATCCGACCAATATCGGTCAGCGAGGACCGTGTCCCACACACTCCCAGCCTGCCGCGGGCCGTCCGCCACCTCCCAGGGACGGAAGTGGACGCGCGCGGCGCCGGTCTGTGGGCGCAGGGGGGTTCGCGCCGCGGCGGCGGCCTTGGCAGTCACGGTGTGACGGTCCTGGGCGCGCGGCGTCACGGACCGAGCCGCCTCCGTGACCGGATGGATCGGAAACTATCGGCCGCGACGCCACTTCCGTGTGCCCACGGAACAAAACAGCAAAACCAAATCCGCACCACCGACTGAAAGCACAAACAAAAAGACGGTCTGCCGGGTCGCGGCGGGTTTTTGCGGACAAGGAGAGAGTGGCGGGATGCGACCGTTGGCCGTCAGCGGACCGTCCCAGCTGCTCGGGGCCTCACAATATTCTCCCTCACCCAGTGGTGAGTCCGCCATCCATTCCCTGCACCGACCCCTCCCCCCATCCCGTGTAACGAGCCCTCCACCTCCTCCCCATTACGGAGCGGTTTCTCAGATGCAATCACCGACGGTGTCTCGTAACACCGCGGAATTTAACGCAGCACATATTGAGTGGTCACGTTCAACTTCGGACTTCCCCGATGCCTTATCCCGCTGAGGTCAGGTTATGCATTCACAGCACCAAAAAAAGACGCCAAATCATCACGAAACCATGCATTGAAACTGTTTGGTTACACTTTACCTAAACGATCCCAGCCCGGCGACCGGCTCCCCAGCCGCCGGTTTCGTCAGAGTCCCGGACTGTGAGCAGGGAGGCAGGCAGTGCAGGTCCTCCACCACAACCCGATACCAGTAGAGACGGACGGCGCAGTTGGTCATGTATCAATCGGGAGGCGAGCTGAGGCACTGGCGGGCGCAGGTCACGGTCGCCGCCGACCTCTGACCCGCGGCGCCGCGCTGCTCCCTGTGACGGCGGCCGGCGCGGTCATTTGGCCCGCTGATGGCTGTGCGCCGTGACCGGTCCGCCATTGCCGCCCGGTCCCGGCGACATGAGCGCCGCTCGTCTCCCGACGGCGCCGACACCGCGCGCTTTATCGGCCAGTTATGGTGGCGACCGACCGCCGTCATCGCATCGGCGGCCTTCAGCGTGAAATAGCGCGGCCGTGGTGTGGATCACAGGCCGCCACCGTATCCTGATGGTCGGACCAGCACCCGCGGCAGCCAGGCCGTGCTGGCGACCCGGAGGGACTAGCAGCGCCGCTCTCCGACGGGCCCTGATCACACGGCCGGCCACAATGGGCGCTCCATCACCCCTGACCGCGGTACTGACACCGTGGCGCCCGTTACTGCGCGCACACATCAGTACACCGCGGGGGGCACACCAAACACCCCCAGAGCAGCACCGGCCGCGGGGGCAGGTTCCGGGTCGGTTCCAGAGCGCAGAATCGGCGACCCCCGGCGCCTGGAGCCGGCCAGTGCCCCAGGGCATACGGAGCGACCGTCATGGCGGCGGCAGCCGTGTGATAGAAAGTTCGTGGGGCGCACTGAGGAAGGGCACCGCTCCTAAAAACACATGCTTCCAAAAACCCGCAATCCGTCAGGCGGATGGAGCTGTAGTCGTTGTGCCCAGCCTCCACCGACGGACACCGACACCCAGTACTACAGCCAACGCCTGGCCGCCCAGCAAAACATCGCCGGCAGGACTTCTGGGTGCCGGCGACAAAAGAGTGGACCATTTTTTAGGGCGGACTAAGCAGGGACAGCCACTGAAGGTTTTTGTCGTTTCTTGCGGAGAACCCTTGACAAGTCATCGTAAATACAAAAGGCTTATGTCAGCTCGTTTCCGGAATTTCAGTCGACAATGCCACCATTGTCATGGTTAAGCCGCCGGCTACACCAAGCTCTGTCGTGTCTAAACGCCCCACTGTCCCTCTGTCTCCCGGAACGACACCTCACTGTATACCGATATAATTACTAGAACCTTCCCAGTCCCTCCGTACGCAGGATCAGGCGGCTAGAAATGTTCAGCTACGCAAGCTGAATGCGAAATTATCTCACTGCATTGAATGATGTATTTCTTGCAGCACAGCGGAGTTCGTTTGTCTCTGTCTCAATGCCACATTGCCGTTCATGGCCTCTCGGCAATGGCCAGCCGGGCTAGGCCGGGTGGTCGCTGCCTGGTAACAATTGCCGCGCCGCACAGGGGCAGCCTTGGCCATCCGGGCGGACCGAGCTGGCCTTGCCGCTGCCGCCGCCGCAGGGCACGAGCATGGACACCACGGCGGCGGTGGTGGCGGCGGTGGTGGTGGCGCCGGCTGCCCCTGACGCACCGACAAACCGCCGGGAAGCCGTGTTTCATAGTTTCAGCATAGTTTCAGCCGGGCAGCGCTTCAGCAAGGCTTAATATTTGTGTGTAAGGATATCAATGTAAGTTGATCAATGAACCGAGTTAGACCCCACCGATGGCATTCCTGCAGGCCCAGTCGCCTGTCGCTGCGTTGTTCACGTACGGCACGCTGTGGCTTACCGATTGTGTAACATCCATGAGGTCAAGACCCCCGGGGTCAGTGCTGAGAGGTCAGACCCACAACTGGGACGACTGCAGCTATTATAGCGGTCCGGATCAACACCTTACGAGGGTGTTATCGACTGAATGGCTGCACACCGCCCTCCCACGGCTATCGCCCGGCCATCATCTCGCTCAGCACAAACGAACACGAGCCGCCGAGCTGGCCGCTGCCGAGCGGGCCGCGACCGACGGCCGCCCGCCCTGCCGTTCACCCTCCCTGGGCCATCGTCACGGCATCGTTAGGGGTCTGTCAGCGGTGCCCGCCCAGTCGCACCGGCGTCTGAGAGTCAAATCCCTCTCACACATTTGGTATCATTAAGATCGTATCAGCCACATTGGTAGCACGGTAACTATGCACATTGCACACTGCTGTATCAGAGCAGACCAGTAACACCGCCGACTGACACCGCTGCCCCGCCCGGTCCCCAGGTGTGGCACTACTGCGACCAGGACGGCACCAAGCACTCGTTCCTGTGTCCGAACGGCACCATCTTCAGCCAGGTGACGTTCATCTGCGACTGGTGGTTCAACGTCGACTGCAACACAGCCCTGCAGCTGTACGTCACCAACGAGGCGCTCTCGCTGCTGCCGGCGCCGCCCGAGAAAACCTTCCCCGAGGACTTCAACGGGCCCATCGTCGACTGGTACATCTACCAGCGACACCAGGAGCGGGCCTACAGGAAGGTGAGTGTGACCGGTGGATGTACCCATCGTCGACTGGTACATCTACCAGCGACACCAAGAGCGGGGCCGGGCATACAGGAAGGTGAGTGTGACCGACGACCCCGCGGCACGGGCCGGGAGCTGCAGACTGGAAGCTGTGACTAGGACTGGGAGCTGCGGTTCGGACTCGGACCGAGAGTTGCAGATGACGTCACCACTGTCGCCGTGCCGATGACGTCACGGTGGCAGTGATGACGTTATACGCTGCCTCTGGGGAGTGCGGACCGTCTGATGGCAGCCAATGACGTCACATGAGGGTGAGGTCACCGCCCGAACCTGACGTGCTACAGCGCCGGCTGGTTAGACAGACACAGTCTGGTGACACCGTCTGGTGACACAGACTGGTGAGACCGGCTGACGCCGGTGACGCCACGCCGCCAGAGCAACTCCCGGCGCCGGGCGGCCTTCACACTCAATTAGTGCTGATGTGTCGATACGGGCGCCGTCCCGCTCCCCCGTCATGTCCATACCGCACCGCACGTGCCCACCCCCTCCGCAACGAAAGCCGTGGGGACATCAGCTCAGTCATAGACCAGGGGATTATAACTCTGACAGAGGCTGCCTGACCACACTTCTATGTGGACGTGGAAGTACAAAAGGAGCATCATAAAACCAGGGTAGTGTCAGCGTAACTAGATACCAGTGCTGCTGATGGCCTGAGCCACCCGCGATGCCTGTGATCCACTATCACACCCCCTGATATCTGTTTCAGGAGAAGTTTCTGCGGCAGCTGGAGGCCGGCCAGCGCCAGGAGGCCATTCGGTTCCTGGAGACGCACGACTTCCCGCCGTGGTTCACGCCGCGCGACCAGGCGCTCTACAGGAAGCTCAAGGCGCTCGAGCGCAAGTCCAAGCACCACGAGCCGCCGCCGCACCGGCCTGTCAAGAAGGAGCTGACGCAGTACGCGCCGCGCTACGCCCGGACTGCCGTCTAGCGGCCGCGGCCCCACGCGCGGCAGTCGTCCCACATGTGCCACAGACATTCAGTGATACCTTCGCCGTTCTGTTACGCCCGTCTTAGCGAGTGTTGCGCGAGTGATGAGCGAGAGAGAGCGAGCCGGCGCGAGAGAGGGAGCGAGCGAACGTGTGAGCGGGGCGATCCTAGTGGCGCGCGTCGGCCGCACGTTGTCCGGTGACCGGTCAGAGGTGGGGGCGGACCCACGGGACAGCGCGCGGCGCCCGCCGGCCGGCCGGGCCCTCCGCCCCCACCCAGCAGCTGCCAGCCGGCCCAACATCAGCTGTATTATCGTAATATATTATATACGACAGGTGCCAATATTTGGACATCTGACGCGATACAAAGCATTGGTAAATAAACAGTACGAGAGGAGATAGTCAGAAACCGAAGCAGTTAGTGACATGTTTGACAAAAAAAAAAATGGATCGATCCGGCCACCTAGAGACTGGACTGAGCGCTCCGGTGGCCGAGCCAACAGTGCTAAATCTGTGCTACATTGGAGGATGCCAGTATGGGTAGCACGCTAGTTCTTCAAGAACTGGGTGGCCGCGCGCATGAGAACTCACATTGCTCGGAGATCAGCATAAGGACTTCAAAATCAAAACTGCGTGAAAAAGTAGCCGTAAGTAAAAATCACAGCCATGAGTAGCACAGCTAGCAGCATTGAGGAAGGTTAGCTTCATTTGACTCTTAATAACCGACCTGGTGCGGATACCGTCTGACGTCCATCTATGAACCGCGCCTGACGTCTTATCCAGTCTAACCCGTATCCCGCCTGTCTTTTTCGTCTAACCCGTATCCCCCTGACCCCTTCAGTCTAACCCGTATCCCCCTGACGCCCCTCCAGTCTAACCCAGATCCCCTGACTCCCGTTTAACCCGGATCCTGCCCGACGACGGTCCAGGCATCACATTTACGCTTGGTGATTGCGATAAAAAGTCTGGAACAAGATAAGCGGATATAAAATCAACTTCTCTTCGGCCGCGTTGATAGAGTCCCATTACCACGTCCGGCCAGGCACCTCCAGCTGGCGCCCAGATCTCCGCGAGCCAGCGTCCCTACTGACGCGGGATCGGTATCTCGTGGCCCTGGTCAGAGCGGGGCCGACAGACCAGACAGGCAGATAGACCGGTAGGACAGACAGACAGACCAGCAGCAGAGGACGCCACTGCCGTGTCGACACCGCCGCCGTCTGCTCTCTGCGGCCCATAGTCCGTCCCCATCTGCCCACATTAACCACAGGCCCTACCCTGGGTTGACGCGCCGCGTCGCGCGCCGCGTGCTCTCCCAGTTAACCGGCGTTGGTGGCGGCCAGCAGCCAGTGTCAGTGCCGCTGTCACTGCCCACCCGGCCCGTGTCAGTGCCGCTGTGACGGTGCAGGGCGGCAGAGCCGGCCCAGGACTGACCTTGATCGCCCAGCGGAGTCGTCGCAGAGTGCCCTGGGCGCGCTGAACCGCCTCCTCCAGCTCCGGGCGGCGCCGAGCGTTCTGTCGGCCAGACGCCATCGGTCGGGTCAGATCAGCAGGAGGGACACATCGCCACAGGCTAATATAGCGGCTGCATGAGCGCCGACAGGTCCGCGCTCAGGCCGTGCAGATACAAAAAAGCCAAAGTGTGAATATAGTGGACTGTCCCGATGCTCACGTTTGACATGCATGATACGACTTTGCCTTTACTAGCCGCTCGTCGCCCAGCTCACCCTATCGCTGAGCGGCTCCACGGTGTGGCCCTTGTGCTCGCCAGAGATGGAGCAGTGCGAGCACACGGCCACCTCGTCGTCGGTGCAGTAGTACTCGAGCGGCCGGCCGGCGTGTAGGGGGCAGCACCGGGCGTCCGCCAGGGCGGCGCCACTGTCGCTGCCGCTGGCCACCGAGGAGCCGGGCGGCGCCGGCCGGGACACGTGTCGAGACAGAAGCTTCGACGCACGGTGAACCTGCAGCGGCCAGAGTGACATGCATGATTCCAGCCAATTTATATACTGAATCATGACCATTTACCGTCATAAGCAACTTTAATTGAAGAGATCTAAGCCTCTGTGGGAATACAAACAATGTGAGAACATGAATGAGGCAAATGAAGTTTAATTCAAGTGACATAGATGAACGCAAAATAGGACATGAACAGTGATCATATCATCTTCCCAGGAGGGAGAAGTAGCGGCAGCACAGGATTGGCTTACCTTTTGGAAGCAGCCGGTGCAGAATCGCGTGTCCTCGCATTTGGCGCAGAGCAGGGAGCCGTAGTTGGATCCGCACTCCTCGCATTTCTCTGTGAACGTGACACACCTCCGTCATCAGCTCTGCGTGGGAGCACAACACACTAACTACTCCTATGGAAGGTGGTCGCAGCGGAAAGGCGGCGCCGGCAGCCCTGGATCGTCTGACTGCTGACCGGGATCCCGTGTCCCCAGTCGCTCGTATGTAACACGAGGACGGCGCGGGACGGCACGGGAGAGGGGGGCTGGGGCGGGGGCAGTGACCGCTCCGACGCCCCGACACACAGCGCCGGCGCCGCGGAGACACCCGATACCGAGACTCGGCACCGTGCGGACTGCGGGGCCCGTCCCCGGGCGCCGCGGTACCCCGATCCCGTTCGCCGGCCGCTGGTGTGGCGCTGTGCGTCCTGCAGCGTTCTGTAGCGTGGTGACCCGCCCCGGTTCGACCGGGTGGAGTCAGGAGTCGCCACTGCTACCGAGCCTGCCAATCACCTGGGCGTGGCTGATGGCACCAGGGGCCGGGTACCGGGCGGGCCGGGCACCATACTCCAGCCCCTACCCCGCGGCTCTATCCCGCCTGTGTTATCTTATCGTACTGTCCTGGTCATTCAGGTGGGTCAGTGCAATCACACGAGCGATTCGGCATAGTATACCCCCAGCTGCATCGTACCTACAGTCCAGGTCAACTAGAAGTGCAGAAACTGTGCATACCGTAAGGTGGGGATATTTGAGACAGTGGGGCTATTTGAGACAGTATTTAAGATTGCTACAAAATAGAAACCACTTAAAATGTATTCTTAATTTTTTGATCAGGCGATTTACTGCTCGATTCCACACCTCCCTGAGCAAAAATATCACACAAAAATCAAACGATCTTCATTTTATAACGATTTTGAATACTGTCTCAAATAGCCCCACTGTCTCAAATAGCCCCACTTTACGGTACCTTTTTCAGACAGAGTCGGTTTGACAGTCTTCTCCGGCACCAGCTGTTTGGTCTTCTTCGCCGTGACAAAGGTCAAAGACTCTCTGGAACAGATAGAAACACACAACATCACTCCCAAGCTCACCGTCGCAGAATTTCCCAAATGTGTCTGCCCGCACAGCTAGAAATAAACAAAGCGATCCGACTACAAACCAGCAGTACATACGACAGCTGTAAGCCACTGCATCTGTACGCTTATTGCGCCCACACGCCTCCGCGGTGCTGAGGTGCCCTCCTAAGCCCCGCCCCGCCCGTCCCGCCGCTGCTGAGAGTGTCCCGTCCCGTCCCGTGTCCCGTCCCGTGTCCCGTCCCGTGTCCCGTCCCGTCCCATCCCCGGGCACCTACTCGTTGAGGCGCGGCCGGACGTTGAGCACCAGGCAGCCATTGATGAAGGCGTCCGGTGGCAGAGTCTTGTCCTGCACCACCGTGATCTGACGGCAGAGCGGACTCGTTAAAGGGAAATACGGGCTGGTCAGGGGGACGGGGTGCTCAGAGGGGTACGTGGGCTCGTCAGGGGGACAAGCTGCTCAGAGGGGTGCGTGGGCTGGTCAGGGGGACGGGATGCTTAGAGCGGTACGTGGGCTGGTCAGGAGGCAATGGCGTGGTAATCTTCATAAATCCTTGAAAAAAAATGTCAGTGCAGACAACATGGTGAACATGAAGCCCCTCAAACGGGCTGATGGTCGACTCTCAATACCTCTACATTTTGACGTCACAGAGAAATGTAAGCACCAACCCTGTTGCCGGGGTGCCGACGGTAACCACCTGCTCAGAGGTTGTGACCCCGCCGAGTCCCGCCGTGTTGCACCTGTACGTTTCTATCGCAGACGTACAGTGTACAGTTACACGCTGTACCCCGCCGAGTCCCAATACGCGTCTGTCGCGGCTGTTCACGCAGTGTCCCCCCCCCCCCCCCAGGGTGTGTACGCGCCTGTCGCGGGCGTACCTGCTGACAGAGTGGACAGGGCATCAGCGGCGACTTGGCGGCGGCGGCACGGACGCACTCCTCGCAGACGCTGTGCCCGCAGTCGAGCAGCACGGGACACCGCTTCTTCAGCTGGTCTGCAGCGACAGACGGCGGGAGGGGGGGGCGTCAGACCGAGCACCAGCCTCGTGCACCGAGCACCCGTAAACCGTCAAAGGGCAGCTGGGAACTTTCGGAAAATAGCGGGCAATGACAATTACAACGATGTGCACCAAGAGCTTCTGCTGAGAGTCGTCAGTACTAACTGATCAGTTACCCCTTAAATTAGTGCTAGAAAAGAAACAGAAATGATCCAGGCCTAGTCTGGCGAAGTGAAACGCAGTGGGTGTTTTGGATGCGACGGGCGCAACAGTTGCTCATTTCCATGGGCTGACGGCTGTTCACGAACCTTTCGTGGCGAATCCCCTGCCGCAGCCCTGACATGTGAGCAGCTTGGGCGGCGTCATCTTGCCGACCACTGCTTCTCCTTAGGACTGGAACAGCCAGTCACAGATCCTCCTAACGGACTGTATCCTCCCAGCGGCAAACGCTGAGTACTGACTCTAGCCTGTCAGTGATGGGCCAGTGTTAGTCATCTCCACATTCGACCTATAAAAAGTGAGAAACATAGCAAATGTTTTTGCAAAACTAAAGCATCTCAATCTACAAAATATATGTTGCTGTCATAAAAAGACTTGCGACAATGGTTACCTATGATTAAATATCAGCCCACCAGACCTTAAAACTCCCTGTAGCTGCTTTGCCACCTCGCTAAATTTATTTGAACTAATGAAATTTAGTGAAAGGCCCTGCTTTCCAGCCTGCCAGGCATGCGACCCCATCGAAACACACCTCATGCGTGCAAACCCCAAGCTTTGCAGTGTGAGTGTTTACTAAACACTTTAAAACTCAACCAAACAATGTAGTTATAGCATTATCTGAAAGAGTGGAAAAAAGCCTTAATCTAAAAACAGGCCTTATTGTTATAGATTTGCCTTGCAAACCCCGCACGGCGCACAGTCAGGCGTCAGTCGTCACAACTTACAGCGACGTTATTTCCTCACCTAAGCCCAACTCCAAAGCCTAAGCTTAAGCCAGGAGCACATCAACATAGAAAACGCACACGTCTCACAGCAACAGTGGTCTCACAGCACCAACACGAAATCACACCGCCCGCGACACGTGACAACCCAGGGTATATTGAGTGAAGGGTAGGACGAACTTTGGTAGGAATTTCTAGTATAACTACTAGAAAAC